TTTCCCCCAATTAAATCAAATTACCGAAGCAAAACACTACATTTTATTTCTCTCGGAAAAAGTCTTAACGTTCAATTTTGGTAAGACACATTAGTTTTAAAATACAACCTAAAGTAGTAATAACCAAGTTATAGGATTTGATATATTGTGTATCAAACTAAAACGCTATTATTGTTACATTTATATCTCCTTACTAATGGGGCATAAAATGTTTAGTTAAAAGTAGACAGTAGTTTTGTCAAACATAACTTAATAATTTACAGACTTTTTAGCAAGAATGATCAGTAGAAATTGGTGTCATACTCTTGCGATTCAATGATATAAAACATGGCCACATAATTTACGGCTTTCAAAAATAATAAAAAGCCAACATTTAAACATGTTTTCACAGGTAGCAGCCCGCCAGTTGAATGCCACTTCGTGTTTGTGAAGACCTTGTTTCGATCGATCTCTGACATAATATATAAAATATCATTATCAAATGACATCTAGGCATTAAAAATAGTTCTATGACTGCGCTAGCATAGTGTGTGTGTGTGTGTATACGCGCGTTAATGTGACATTGTGAAGTCAAATGATCCTGAAAGATTAGTAAATGTCCTCACTTGTGCTAGTACACACTCTCGTCTGAGGACATCATCAGTCACATAACATTCATATTCATATATATTTAAAAGAAAACATCAAAGCAAATTAAATATGAAACTCTTAATATAAACGGGATTACACCGTTTCTTGTCACGCATTCTACACACCAGTTGACACAAAAAATATATAAAAGATGTCTTTTTTACGTTCACTTGATTAGGGTATTTAAATAGATTTCTGGATCATGCTTGAATATTTTTAGTAAGTTATAATGATTTACAGTCTTGCTAAAGAGTGTACCGGGTTTCTTCTTGCGGCCTTAATTGCACGCCTTTACCTCAATGTCACTGACTAAACATGCTATTATCAGCTGGTCACGTGGTTTCATATTCATTTATATGTCTTTGAACTAGTCCTTTTTTCTTCTACATTATTCTTAATGATACAAATCAATACATACGGCAAACATCATTTTAGTACGTGTTCATATGGCATTAATATCAAATGCCATCGCCAATTAATGCAGCAATCTAAAAGTATTTGTCTGAATGCACAATTAACAAGTGTTTGCACATGAATAATAAAAATAGTAATATAGCATATGAAAGCTGATATATGCAATGGTGGACAACATTTCAAGAAGGTGGTTTTCCTCACAGGTCAACATAACTGTACTAAAACAATTTCAAAATGTGTAAAAGGTATATATTCCGGAAGCAGTGAACAGATATGAAAAGGTGACAAATTTGTATTGAGTCTGATATGAACAGTGGGGAAAAAAAGAAAAATCTTCCATTCCGCCCCTCTCTAGCACCGCCTTAAGTATTCAAACTTCAGCTGTTACAGTACAAAACTCCTATACAGCACAAAAATTTTAAACACTTGGATGAAAGTATAAACAGAGATAAAATGATAGAAAGTAAGCACATTGCAAAGATCTGGCCAATTAATTAAAATGTAAAGAGAAAGGCATCAATCTTCGGTTAAAAAAAAATGCATAATTCTGCTTAAAATCAAACAGAAATACAGTGCATGAAAACAGACGTACCTACCTTATAAATTTCTACAAAACAAATAATGATAAGTCAAAAGGACAAAGGGTAACACCGGATGAAATCTGTCATCATAGCATATTCCAGCAAATTTATAGCTCAGTATGGCACTAAAATGTGACACACATGCTAGCTTAGACTTGCAATACATTTGTTGCTTATCTTTGTTAAGCATTCACGGCTTTGTCACATGTCTTTATTTATTTTTTAATACTGTCACTTAAAAGAAAATATGCAGTCTTTTGTATATCATTTTTGACTTGTTTTGGATTTGCCATATTGAAGCTGAATCGTTATTGCACAAGATGATTGGTTTTGCTAAGTTGCCAACATATTCGTTTACTTATTTATAAAATACTATAACTTACATAAATGAACATGTACCGCAGGGGGACAATAAATCGTCAATATATAGAATTATTGTTTTGTAATATGATTTATACATCTAATATAACGATGCTAAATAGATAAATCGATATCAGTTAGTTATACAATTGTATGCTTATCACAACAATACAATTGTATGCTACTTATTGTCTACAAGTTATACATGTGTTGTCTGTTCTTATGAATATTAAAGTGAAATGTTGTCCTTGAAAGTGTGAATGTTGAGTGTACAGGAAAATGTAAAAACTCTATACATGTACATTAAGCCATAATTGTTTTTAACTAATGCGTTCTATTACACAATATAAACTATAATCCATGTGACTCATAAAATATCTATAAATAGATATCCTTCAGAATATATCTGTAAAATTCGATTGATGAAAATAGTGGAACAGTCATTATATATATTTGGATTTTTTTTTATTCTTAACATATTTTATTATTATTTATTTGTCAATGATGATTATAATAGTCAATTTTTCAAAATACATGTATATAATTAACTTGACAGCGAAAAATTGAACGTTATGCCATTGTAATGTATTGCTGTTTATTATAACAACAGTTCATTATACTCCGATTACATAATGCACACGTAAAGTATTTTATGATTAACTATGTGTATATATAATGCATGTAATACACATTGGACAAAGGCATAGTATGCTGAAAGTACTTGTTATTTTTTGTACATAAGTAATGAATGCATATTCTCTTCTATTCTATTTCAAACAATATCTATGATTTTTAAATCAAATTATTCTGGCTTTGGACCTAGTGTTTTGGAAAGGCATTTAATATAAGTCAAATTATACTTTATGTCAATAGTTATGCAGAAATAGTTCATTTATTGATGTACGTATTATCTTTACACAGACATATGGAAAACATAAAATGAAATTGTTTCTTTACATTAATTATAATCTACAATATGTGATATTCTATCAAAATATCAACATACAGCTTTGTTTCTAACATTTCCGACACTTTCATATGCTTTTGATCTACTTTGATGTATTACTAAATATACATGTACGTTTGTTTTCAAAAGTGGAAATTTTATTGGCTCCATTTTGTACAAATGACATTTTAATGAAAATACTGTAACTGTAAAGGTAAAACACACAATTGTTGGCATAGGTTTGCAAAATGCATAAGGTATGCATAGTATTTATTTCAAATCTAGGTGTAGCCTTTTGACGTGGCTCAAAGTTTAATGACACTCGTAAATGAGGTCCAAGAATTTTACGATGATCTAAAAAGGTGTTCAAAAATGATAATAAGTCGGACTGGTCATTCAATTACCATTGAATAGCGTTGTACACTTCTGTGACTTATAGTTTTACGAGAGAATTTATTTCATTAAAAATTATCTCCATGGCATTCGTTAGGTGTTCACGTTGATATTACTATGTTCTTTGAAACGATTTAATTGAGAGATGATCCAATCTTCTTTGGCTGAAAGTGTTTCCTTTGAAGACACGGCACACGTATACTTTCTCTCTCTATAATCTGCGCATTGGCAGAAAATAAACGGAATGAGCGAAGCTTATTTAATTAGTTCCGACGCTCGTTTCGGGCATAATTGGGTCTTATTCGTAAATAATTAACTACATTGGTATATTAATATTTCCGTGAAGAAAGTTCCGAGGCTACCGTTCTTGCCATGTCGGTTACTGTTGTAAACTATAAAGAAATATTATGTGAAAATGAACTTCTTTATATTGTATTATAATGTTTGTCAATTTATATAGGCAAATATAGCTAGATGATATGTGACTGATTTGAATAAAATTACAAATAGCGTTTATATTAGATAGTGCAGGTAATTGACTATCACAGTAGGTTGATAATGTAACGTATACAGCAATATATCTAAGAGAGCACATTTACATGCATACATGGCATTGTATTTTTGGGGACAATGCCGGACAAAAGACATAAAAGTTCCAAACGTTACGTATTTGATACCGTTAAGTCGTTGATGCATACATGTACAATAGTTATTGTTCAAATATATTAACTATTTAAGACAAAACTTAGATAACACGCTAAATTTTAATGAGATACAGTGACCGATACAAAAATAAAGAGAGCGGTATATAGATATAAAGTGACCGGTCAGCTATAGGGTTGCTGAATTGCTCTTTACACTTTGTTTATTCACTAAAATCAGAAACCCTTTTTAAAAAATTCAAACAGTGTCTTCTGATGTAATTTAAATGGCAAGAATGTTGTATGGTGTTCGTTTTGCTGGAACGACAAAATACATTTCTTTAAAAATCAAATAAAGATATCCGTATCTCAAACAAACTGCCAGCGTTATTAGATTATTTTCATCTGGGGAACTATAGGAGCACCGTTTTGACACTTCATTGCTAAAATTGAGAAGACAGTATATCCCATATGGGGAGATTTTCCAAAAACTAAAGCTAACGTTTGGAAAATACAGTTTTGTCACTGTCGTTTTCAAGTCAATATTGAAATGCATATGGTTGCCAAATAAAAAACAAACTTAGCTTTAAGTGGACGAGTGATACAAAAAGCAAATCCAGGTGTAATATTTCAGAAAGGTGGAATCAAAATCCCTTCATTTTCACACCAATATGGTGTTTAATATAACAGTTTTGTGCTAGTGTGAACGAAATTGTTAAAAAAGCTATTATAATGTTCTTGTGTCAAGCGTCTCATATATCCACATTGTACTTATATTGTTTAGCAGTTTTCGTTATATTTATATAATATTGAATTGCTGATTAATATTATCTTTAATATAAACTACCATTATTTTAGAAAGAAAATATGTGAAATCGTTGTATTAATATTTTGCCCTCATGCATTGCTCAAATGCAATCTGTTTATTTTCAATATAAGGCCTCTGGTAAAACATTCAAGTATTTGTTCACTAGTCTTACATATGAATATTTATGACATATGTAATTTATTATGTTTTTTTTCCTCTCTTTCAAGGATCTCCGTTGTGGCTACTTTTAAACATGGCTCCAATAAGGAACGAGAAAGACCAGGTTATTCTAATCTTAGTAACATTCAAAGATATTACCGCATTAAAACAACCAATCGACGACGAGAATGCACGAGGTGAGCAGTAGTTATTTGTATATTTTGAAAATCATGCTCAATGCGTTATTATTTTATCTTATGGACTGTATGTGTACGTAACATGCAACGAACAGTTCGTACTGTCCCATGCTGGTCCGATTGGACTTTTCTACAGTTAGAAGACCTCTGAAAAGAAAGCCAATCGAACACTCGACTGTCATTTCAAAATGTCGTCCAGTCACACTATTCCGACCTTAATACAAAATGCTTTATTGCTTGATTTGTGATGAAATATGTATTTTCTAAATCAGAAGAAAGTAAAAAAAGAAACCAACCGCAGTATCAATATGTTTCATTTTACTCATAATTCCTTGCCCGCCATGCTGTTTGATCACGTGACTTTTACCTCTTTAAAGCCTTCTGTCTATCTGGTGGAATAGATATAAGGCAGCCAATCAAACAGTTCGGAAGGGCACTTTTCATTATGGTAGCTCTTCCATTCTCCAAATCGAACCGGCCACTTATTCTCAGAAACCAATTCAGTTTTTCAATGATTAAATCGTGGTTATTTAATCGTTAGGAATTCATAGGGAGAAAAGTAAATATGAAACTTCCAACATTTTAACTTGTTTTAATAAACAATAGTTACATAAATACCAAAGTGTAATATAAACAATAAATGCTATTGAAAAACTTATTAGCTAAAGTAAGGTTACACTGTCTTTGGTATATTTAATACGATGGAGACACCAAACGTCATCAATGACATAATATTATGGAGTGATTAAAGCCAGCAGATAGCAGACAGTTGAAATGTCTTATTTCCTGTCACTTTAAAGTTAAGGATCAATATTCGTCAGACATACAGGCAATGTTATGTAAACGCATGGACTAATTTAAAGACTCTGTATCGAACAAAACCATTATTTCTGTTATAAAAAATCGGTCTGCCATTTATACAATTTATTGGTACTTGACAAAACAAACACAGTATTTATATTGTGCAGACAATTACCGTTGCACTAATGATGCACTATATTGACAATTATGTTTTACATCGACGTCACCCATGCATAATTTTAATGAATTTATTTATAAATGCAGAATTATTTGGACTACATGTTAATGAGTAGAATGAACGTATTTTTCTAATTTAGTTAAAACAATCTATGACTATTTATAAGCATAACAATTGTATTAACATCTTTATATACTTAATTTGTGTTTTGATATCATTTATTGTGATAATAGACTTTAAGAATTAAGATATTTCAATTTTTAAAATATATGTTCCATATGTGGCTGTGTTGTCCAAATTCCAAAATAAACTGGTACATGTACCAGTTACAGATTTTAGCCAATTTTCAGTTGCAAGAAATAACTTTAAACAAATTAAAAAATAAAACTAGAAATTTAAAAAGTCAGCGCGATTTTATGATAAAATTGTGACAAAATAATATTTTCATGTTGTATTAAGGCACAATAAACATATTTGATGTGTTTAGGAAATAAGGAAACGTCATTTTTTCATTTATGTTCAGGTTATCATTGCAATCCCGATGCAAATCAATTACATATAATAATCAGTATTATTTCACACCATTTTCAAGGTATGAGTAAGTTTGCCAGACTAGCTCGATCAGTGACGAGAAATAGGTCAACAATTTTACAGTTTAGCTCCAGCATTCCTAGCATGAGGTTCGAGACGTCCCGACCGTCACAAATTGCTAATGTAAGTATGATGAATAATGTGTTCCCAGTAAGCTTATATGAGCCGTGTCATGACAAAACAAACATAATGGGTTTGCGACCAGCATGGATCCAGACAAGCCTGCGCATCCGCGCAGTCTGATCAGGATCCATGCTGTTCGCTATCAGTTTCTCTACTTGTAAAAGAGTTGGTAACCGAACAGCATGGATCCTGATCAGACTGCGTGGATGCGCAGGCTGGTCTGGATCCATGCTGGTCGCAAACCCATTATGTTGGTTTTGTCGTGATACGGCTCATATATGGTATACTTCTAAGCAAAATAAAATTAACATTAGAGTATATTGGTTTATAATGGAAGTTATAAAATACAAGTAATAATTGCGTTGATGGTATTCAGTATCAGACATAACAACAAACCATACAATTTTATATATTGATGTTGTTGACGAAATACATGAACCACTATGCCAAATATTTATAAAGCAGTTCTAGAACAAAACATTGTAATTATTCATAAAAATGTTCAAACTTAAATCACTTTTAAACTTTATCAACATCTTTTAAAATAATATTTTATAAGAATATCTAAATGATAAATTCCCATTGTTTTTATCAACATTTGAAAAGCTTAAAGAAAATGTGCCAATTGTAGACCGATCCATCGATATAGTATCCTTTTGAAAAAGAATTCAATAGATATATCGGCGGTTAGCTTTCCAGTCGATTTTTTTTTTTTTTTTTTGGGGGGGGGGGGGTCCAACAAAGATCATTCGTTGTTCATTTATAATATAATATTATTTGAAAAAGGATTAATAGAGTTTATTAACATTAAATATGTACGCTCTGCATCCATTATATTCGGTTTTAATCAATTAATTTTTCTATTACGTATCCCTACTGAGCATATTTTAAAATGTGTAGTTTTTTTGCCCATTCTTAAGCCCAGGCTTAATGATAAATATTTCATATAGGAAATTTTATCATCATAAGTGCGTTTGGCTTTAACAAACATATATGTAATGGTTTTAACCACAAAACATACATTTTCTGATGTGTATTTAATAAAATAATGAATTCATTTAATAGTATCATATTTCTTTTTAAGATTTCTTTTTATTTTTTTACCCATTCTTTCAGATGATGAACCTTAACGCCGATGTACTTCCACAGTATCGTCTAGAGGCGCCAAAGACACCGCCACATATCATTCTTCATTACTGCCTTTTCAAAACCATTTGGGACTGGTTAATTCTCATATTGACGTTCTATACCGCTATCACTGTCCCGTATAACTCTGCCTTCAGGAACAAGACAATGGACCAAGTCCCTCTCTTAGTCATCGACAGCATTGTAGACGTCGTGTTTTTCATTGACATCATTTTAAATTTTCATACAACATTTGTAGGCGCAAGCGGAGAGGTCATATCCGATCCTAAAATTATACGCATGAACTATTTGAAGAGTTGGTTTGTAATCGACCTACTCTCTTGTTTACCTTATGATGTGTTCAACGCCTTCCAAGATGTAGACGAGGTATGAAACAAGGAGATGTTTTCTGTCCTATTCTTTTCTTATTATAATTTGAAAACATGTGAGAGGTTTTAATTAATAGATTCCCGCCCTCATCTTGAATCATATTCTACCAAACAATGACTATACAATTTTAAGTATTGAACTTTTCTCCTAGCCATTCTTAAGGACACTTATCTAGGGTATTTATGCTCTTAGTACTGACTTACTGATATCTTAACAAAACATATTATCCTGAAATGACTGTTACGAATGATTTCATTAATATTTGTTATAAAATTATTATGTTAAAAAGAGCAGATTGTACACCTTCTCTTAAACATTGATAATCAATGCTTACTTAAAAACACACATGATGAATAAAATTATTTATTTAAGAACGTTATAAGATATTGACAGCTTTTTAAAACAATTATGTAATATTTTTTATTTAGTACATTAAAATCACCAGTGCTATTTTGTTTCTATGTAATTTGTGTAAAAAAAGAATAAATTCTTAAAAAGATAAAAATGATCCTAAAATCAGACCAAATAAAATATGTTTGCAAACTGCGTAAGTTTACCTGAACTTTCAATAAAATGATAAATTGCATTCCTTTTAGCATTATGTATTTTAAGGAGCTATTTTTTTCATTTCAGGGTATCAGTACTTTATTTAGTGCATTAAAAGTAGTGCGACTTCTTAGATTGGGTCGTGTAGTGCGGAAACTTGATCATTATTTGGAATATGGGGCAGCAATGTTAGTGATGTTGATACTTGTGTTCGTCTTGTTTGCACATTGGCTTGCTTGCATATGGTACTCAATAGGTCTAACAGAATTATCGGCCCATGTGAACTATGGCTGGCTAACTGTGTTATCAAATGTGACAGGCAGTGATTTTTATTATTCAAACTCTACAAGTGACCTTATAGGAGGCCCTGGAAAAGGCATGAGGTATCTGACAGCATTGTATTTTACGTTATCATGTATGACTGGTGTAGGATTTGGGAATGTTTCAGCGGCTACAGAATCTGAAAAATTGTTTTCCGTGTTCATGATGATCATCGGATGTAAGTTCTGTTCGTTCTTTTGGTTTTATCACACATACTATAATCAGGAAAACACTGTGTATAGAGATATCTCTGGGAGAAGCATTTAAGTTCCTAACATGTATCAGTAATCATATTTGCCAAATTGTTTTTGGATAATTAAATCAATTTGATATACATTGTAATCGTCTAAGTAATTGATAATGTTTAAGTAATTGATCATCGGAATATTCCTTATAATCTGTTTTTATCAGACCATATAGAAATACATGTAGATACATGTATAATAATTCAAACTCTTTGAACGTTTCGTATAATCTATATGCCTTTTAATTGAGAAAATTTGAGAATGCTGTTTATTTTTATTTTTTGTTTGCTTCAAATATGAAATTGATATTCCCCATTAAATTGACAAAATATGAAATGTAAGTAAAAACTCTAATTTCAAGTGATTTCAAATATAATTATAATTATGTCAATTGTATTAGGAGTTACATAAAGATGGTTGATATGGTCCAAATTTAAGCAAACTAGCACCTCTACGTTGGTCCTTTGCGACAAGAAGGACTAAACATTGGCAGGGGCTCAATGTTCAGTTATCGTCTTTCTTCCTTGTTACCTTGTTAAACCTAACATTTTCATATTTCCCTTAGTCTACTGAGCGTTAATTTATTTAAAAGTATTTATAAATTTTTCAGCTCTGTTATATGCCACGATCTTTTCCAACGTGACCACCATTTTCCAGCAATTCTATGCCAGTTTCGCCAGGTATCATGACATGTTGAACAATGTACGAGAATTTATGAAGCTTCACGACGTCCCTAAATCACTAAGCGAGCGTGTAATGGACTATATTGTGTCAACGTGGGCTATTACAAAAGGAATAGATGCAGCTAAAGTAAGTTATACCTAAGTGTTTTATGAAATCAACTACTACTTATTTTAAGAGTCCACAAACAGTATTAAAACAATAAGCTGACTTTCAGTTATATATTACTTATGTAACGAAGGAAATATCGCTTAGCCAACAAATTTGAAAAGTTTGGAAGGTCGGTTTGATTTACTTAAAGACTTCTTATAGATGGTACTTGATCAAACGCTTTACACTATCAGTACAGTGCTTTTTTGTACAAAATGGACCTTAACATAAACAAGCATCATCTTCATGGATAATTAAATAAACATACTTTCTGAATAGCGATCAGTGGTGACCATGATTAAACGACAAGGCTGATCTTTGCCTGCACGGGTCGCATTCGTATAATTTGTAACCGCAAACAGACAAATGGTTAGGTTCATTAATCCACAACATATTTCTGTCCACAATACGCATAATTTCTTATTGTCTGTACATAATGTTTTGACCTAACCAAATATTCAATTTTGTGTTACATATATTTGTAACATAAAAGATTAATTTAATTTTAAAAAAAAAAAATTGAATGTTGTAATGATAAGATATTAATATTTTTCTCTGAGACGGATATAAAATCTATCTTTAAATTCCATTTAAGCAAACTTAATCGGGATAATGAGAAAAGTAGCTACCAATATACCAGAAGTTAAATTTTATTTTTTAATTCAGTACTATACAGACTATTTGAGACGGTCAAAATCTTAATCATTACACATCGGTTTAAGTTAATATTTTAACAAGCCTAAAACATATCACTGTGATAATTCACAAGCCAAATAGCCACGGAAAGGTACTCATTATGTGTTATTCAAGATAATTCCGTTTCCATTAAACACAATTCATAAATCAATCAGAAGGTTTGATTTTAAAAGCGGGCACCGACTGTAATGTGAACGTTTGCCGCTTGTGGCGCAATAAATCTTGTCTAACTTTAATACACCATATGTACAATTCTCCCATATCATTGTTTAAACAACTCCTGTTGTGGGAAAATACATTCATCAATATTGAGTTTCTAATTTCTTTGTAGCCGGGAGTAATTAGGTTTAAACAAGTAATGAAGACTTATGTCAACATCCATCCAATAAAACCTTTGCTTTTGCAATTTCTGAGAGAAGGAAGGAGTGTGTTAATTGTTTTCAATTAGGCCATATTCCTTTCATTTAGCCTTTAAACGATTCATATGAGATATTCATACCATTTTGTTTAAGGGCCTGTTTGTTTAAGATAATTGGACTTCGAAAATATCTGTATATCAAGTTATCAACCCTTACGCTGCGGGAATTTCACACCAGTAAAGAGCTGGGCCAACCTGCACACCCATACAGTTTGAACATGCTCTTTACTGTCAGAAGCTCTTCTTTTATTTTGAAATTAAAAATCCATTAACTTTCTAATAAACTTTTTCATAAATAAGTCAAGACAAAACCAAATCACAGTCAGAGAATCATGGTTATTTGTTTCTTTGTTTGGTTTTACGGCGCACTAACACAGTATAGGTTATATGGCGCCAAAACAGGGATGATGATTTTAGCGCACGTAATTTTCTCATGTTACAAACTTCAAAGCAACACCAGTGGTCAAAAGCACCTCACCTGCTAGAGCTAAAAGATGCATACACTCCAGTAATTCGAACTCATTTAGTTACCTCTTACGATCACGCAAGGATAAACGTTGGTTGCATTTCTTATGTCTTAATCATTAAAGACAACCTCTCAGCCACAAGAAGCAAGAATAATGGTTCATAAAATAATTAACTCTGTTCATAGCGAAGTCTATACTAGTAACGGAATAAATACTTGCTAAAAGAACCTTTTTTCGTCGTTATTTTTTCGTTGCAATAATGAAGGTTTAAGTCATTGTTTCTCATGAACAATTTTGATAACCCATGTGCAGTTAGAAACATTCACTTTGTCACTTTTACCGGTTATATTTTTTTTTTCATATCGTTTTTCATTGTCAGAGTTAAAGAGAAGCACTTCGCTTGTAATTAATGACATTGGTTGCCTATATCAGGAATGAAAAAAAACATCATATTATGGTTGCTATAGTAATTTATCATTATCCGTCTAATAGTTACTCTGTAACTATATTTTTTCCAAGAATTATATATAAAATAGCTTGTCACAATGATTATGAAATCGAATATACACAAAGCGTGTTCTATAGGAAGGTCATATGGGTACTTCAAATGGATAGCATGTATAAGTTGTTATTGAAATAATTTGCGTTCTGAAAGTACATCCATCAATATTGCATTTCTAATTGCGTCGAAACCGATGGTAATTAAGTGTAAGCAAGAAACGAAGGCGGCGTCCTTTGAGTGTCTCCTACCTTTATGCATTTGTGCCTGCATTGTCGTAGAAACAAACAACAACAAAACGATAACAAACAAAAACAAATAAACAAAAAAACATATATTTTCTTATTTTAGCCAAAATAAATATTCTTAAGACCATTTTGACTTAATAATTTGCACCACTTTTTTCTAATTAGCGACAAAAAAGTTAAGTTATGTGCAAAACAAGTTATAGAAAGAGCATCGAAACAGCCGCTATCTGATTTGTACGAGGGGGCGTAGCCCCCGAGTATAAATCAGATTGCCGAGTGTTTTGATGTTCTTTCTGTTTTGTATCATAGTCAAACATAAAAACACGTTCCCTGTTGTCACAATATGAAACCCCAGAAAAAACAACAAATTAACTAGCATCTGAATATGATATTTCTCTCGCTTTCTCTGCCGTCCCAGCAAAAAAGAGCCAATCAATGAGAATCACTGGAGTGCGGGTAACTGATACCTGCACTCCAGTTAACGCACTGTGCATGTATATGCATACGATTTAACTCGTTACTTTTTCAACAGAAAGGTCCCCAAACTATGATACAATAAGATTTTACTCAATGTCACTTAAATATGTTATAAGCTTGTAAAACGTCTTTTATTCTTTACGCAAATGTTAAAGATATCATGAGCTCTATTCGGCACACACAATAATTTTAATATACTTTTCTTTGAGCTATATTACATACTTTTGTTTTTACGGATATTTTAACACAATAATCCCAGGCCATATCCCCGCGGTGGATTAATCTACCCGGCTTTCCTGGATATCTAACCAATAATAACAAAATTGCTCCGCATATGACCGGCTACTAATCCTACATGATATCAGTATCGGAGTAGTGAGAAAAGTTTATATTTGACCAAATGTCCCTGAGATCACTTGACACTGGGAACGTTCTGATGATCGGACCAGCGACCCAAGGTTTACAATTTCGATACTCTCCCTATTAAGCTTAGCGACCGGAGATGTAATTTATACATTATTTTGTTTCAATATTCGCAGACAAACATTAGAAGTCGGTATCATATGTTTTACAATCTTTAGCTTTAATGTAGTCTGATTAATGGCGACCTTTGAAGATGAAAGTAATTGACCAAAGTTGTTTCCTTGCATGTCCCTGTTGTGACACGAAATATACAGAGGCAATTAATTACAATTCCTTGTTCTTTATATTCTTATCTTAGATGGAATGTATTGCAAATATCAAAATCAATATAATTGCATGTAACTTAGTATTGAAAGAAATAAGGTAATCAAAATAAAACACTTCATCATGATTTTTTTAAGGTTTGGAAAAGTCTTGTCTTAAATTATAGTGCACGTTTTATTATTGTTTTACATTAGTTAACATTACTTGAATATATAAGATTTTCTTTGATGTTTGAAGAAAAGAGTAATGAGACTATGTTTCAATATTTAATTCAAATGTCAAAAAAAATTCAGTTCAATGGTTATTGTTTAATTATACTTCTGAATGCGTGTGTAATAGGTTGAACTAAATCATGTTTGTTAATGAATGGCTCGAGCAAGACCACTGTCAAACCTTGTGTCACTTGTGTCATACAGGACTTTCTTTCTTGAATTTTGCTGTTTAAAAAAACACTGGTACAGAAGACATTTTAAAATTACAAAAACCATATAGGCTAAGAAATGATCATCTTATTTTACATAAACATTACGTCAAACAGTCCGATTTCCTAATTTGAAACTGTAGAACAATAACATTATATCTTAACTAAATGGTTTCCCAGTAATTTTGTATCTTCGACCATGCCAGTTTTCAATTTACTTTGCACTGTCTGTAAAAATACATTAACATTAATTCCAATAACTAAACGATAATAGATACAAAACTCATGATTTTTGTATTCCATATAAGCGCATATCTCGTACGAAAATTTGTATTCCGTATAGGCGCGTATCTGGTTCGATAATTTGTATTCCGTATAGGCGCAAATCCCGTATAAAACATGCTTTACCTTTAATTTCTTTTATAGGTGCTGAATTATTGCCCGAAGGACATGAAGGCTGACCTATGTGTGCACCTCAACAGGAAAGTGTTTTTAGAACACCCTGCCTTCCGTCTCGCCAGCGACGGATGCTTACGTGCCTTGGCCATGCATTTTACAATGACTCACAGCGCTCCTGGTGACCTTATATTTCACCAAGGAGAATCTCTTGATGCACTCTGTTTTGTAATTTCTGGGTCATTAGAGGTGATACAGGACGACGAGGTCGTTGCAATTTTAAGTAAGACATTATTCCTGAAATTCTTATTTATGAATTGTGTTTTATGCAAATCTTGCTTAATATTGTTAATGGTAAAAGAAAGTAACGACATAAATCCTGCATCTCCCATTTATGAATTGTGTTTTGTGCAAATTTTGATCATTGTATTTCATGGTTAAAAACAAGTTACAAAGATTTGCATCATTTCCTGCATTCACCACTGGCGTTCTATTTTTATATGGTTACATAATTTAATATTTAATGATAGTACTATTTTAATTGATATAATCATTTATTTAGTAACCTTATCACAAAAAAGTATATATATCTATATAAATGCTAACATACAATGACATAAAGAATATTTCACCTTCATAATAATTGCTTGTATGTTGGTATTGTCAGGGTTGTTTTCCCACAAGTCGCAATACGAAAATAAATTTTATATTGCCTATCTATTAAAATATAAATATTTCAAAAAGCAATACATTTAAGATAAATTTGACAGAAAAATATATTTCTTTTACATAACATTTAATGCAATCACTTTGATGTTTCAGTTTTCACTTGTAAATAATCAAACAATATGAAATAACTAACAATTGCTGAAAATCATTAGAATATTGAAAGGTGTATGTATTGGAGGTATCGCTTATCAATTGTAGGTAAAGGCGACGTGTTTGGGGATAACTTCTGGAAGGAGGGATCGTATGGCCAGTCTACGGCTAATGTACGAGCATTGACCTATTGTGACCTTCACACAATCAAGCGTGACCGCCTTTTAGAAGTGCTCGAATTCTATCATGCTTTTGCAAATTCATTTGCTAGAAACCTAACGCTTACATATAATCTAAGACATAGAGTAAGTATTATTAATATAACGTTTTACATAAAGGCACGCTATACCAATACTATTGTTTAGTTAATTGGCTAATGAACTTTAAAACTATTAAAAAGTACACAAGAATAAAAAAAGTTTTGTGAAATAAAAGTTTTTTTCTTGGGCATAATGGGCTTTAATATTGCCATTTATATAGCATTTTTGTTAGATAATATTTATAAAATTATTTGAAAATATTTTGCTTTTCTCTGATGTTCATGTTAATGTTTTCATTGTCTCTTCAGCAATCATATGTTTAAACCATGATTTAAATACTCTTACTTCTCGTATTTTTTTAATACAAGTTGGTCTTGTTTTTACTGTTAACTCAAAGTTTCTTTTCAAGAAGAAACATTTAGTAAGTTCCTCGAGATTTACTCTTTTCCTATTTCTAAGGATTAGTACTATAGTGAACGCCATATATAATACATATACATAATATATACATAATATATATATATAATTTATTTTTGTCAGATTTTTGTCCAAATTCTAAAATTCTTTTATTTCTTGCAAACAAAATAGATAAGAATTATTCCCCTTTTTAAATAAAAGAATGAAATATTAAGTTAGCAAGTTAAATACAAATGCTCAGTATGACGTATAAATATTAATAAAAGTGGAACAGTACTATTGTCTAAGGGGATACGAATGAATAAGAATTTTCAAGATAATATTGTTCTCAAAATTAAACTATAATCACCATTTGACTGCCACACGTCATGGTTCCGCAAAAACGTTTAACGTTTAAAAGATATAGCTAGATCTTTCAGAGATGCTTTGAATAATTAAAGACTCTACAAATAGCGTGCTGATAATATAATGCAACTTCAATAGATTGCGTGTTTTCCACTAGGAATAATAAGATATTGATTCGAAAAGACCGAAAGGTTTTTTTTTTAAATTTTGCAACGCTGCAGAAACATCGCTTTCAAAATGATCGTGCATTGACTTTTTTACTTATCAATACCTATTCGAATAAATAAAATGTATTTATGTAATATAATATCATGGACTGAAAAGACGTTTAAAGAAACTATTCACCGACTGCCACAGAATAAACAATGATACTATGGTTCTACATTTGTATGAAAGCTTGTCAGTCCTTTTAATGAATCAACAGTTTATTCTTTAAACAAAATAATTTGAAAGTACAAGCATTAATACCGTCATGTGTATGAAACAGAAAATGATCCGAAAAGACGATTTCGCTAAAATAATCACATTGACCTTACTTTTCATGTGATGTTTTTAAATTCTTTCAGATCATATTTAGAAAAGTAGCTGATGTCAAAAAAGAAAAAGAATTAGCGGAGAAAAGAAAAAACGATCCACCTTTAGAACTGTCAAATGACCATCCTGTCAGGAAACTTATTTCTCGATTTAGAAAAATGGGAGATAACAAAGCACAGGATCTAGAAAAAGGAGGTCCAAAGGTGTTCGGGGCTGGTGATAGACCGGTTAGCGCAACTAAAATAATTAACGTCAGTGAAAGTCCATCTTCAACAAATAGCGTGCCGAAAATTGGGGGCGGGGCTTCTAAATGGGGTAAAATACTGGGTGGAAACGTTGAAAACAAAAGCAATAATATAAATACATATAAATTACCAGAAACTAGTGCACAAGAGGACGCAACTCAAAAAGTTACAGAGAATAAACCAAGAAACAATAATGAAGCGTCCAGATCTATCATAAGACATGTAGCCAAATTGAATAAAGTTTTAGAAAATGCACCACCACCTGTTGATGAATCACCTGAAGATGACGAAAAGAGTAACCTTAAGAAAACTGAATCATTAGATAGTGGTATACTGAAGAGCAATAAAACACTCGATCAAATCAGTAACAGCTCTGATAGTTCACAATGTAGTAGGCATCAATCTAGTGGACCTTTATCTGTTGCTGAGCAACAAATGCTTACCTCTTTGTATGATATTAGACTAGAATTCAAAGAGGAAATGGAAATAATGCATCAAAAGATGAACCGTATAGATGAACAAATTTCAGAGATTTTAAGGATGTTTTCACCTAGTGTTTCTCAATGCTCATCACACGTTCCGTCTTGTCCATGTTCTCATAGTTGTTCTAAATTCACATCACCACAAAACACCACCACAAACAGTGCCGAACATTCCCCCAAAACATCTTTATCATCTTCACCTCATCGTTCATCACACGGCGCATCATCTAGTAGTGTTCACAAATCAGAACTCGCAAATATGTGTGATGACGTTATAAATATGGATATAAGTCAAACAGCGAACGATCAAGAGAAAAGTAATACTAAACAAACTTCAAACCCATTTATAACTGACAGGCACAGAATGCCAAAACATCACCCGAAATATCATCAAACTTCGTCGTCGGAAACTAGTGAAAATGGTGGTAAAGTTCGTGCAAAAACAAATAGGGTTTCACCTGAAATTCCAATTAAACCTGAGACAGAAAAATCAACAGAAAAGACAAACCCTTCTGGACTAGACGGGGCGCTTACAACAAGAGATATTGACATTCCAATTAAGGATCGTGACCTTGATATTCTGTGATTGCAAGAAGCTTTCTTCTGTGATATTTCCTAAGGGTTGTAGACATCATTCTGATAGATTTGAGCTATAAGTGAGTGTGCAAGGAATGTATAGCCAAATTGTAATGCTTAAGTTTAAAGCGTTTTTATTTGCAATTTCTTAGTGTTATTAACCGGTGCACCCATCACACCTTTGATTGTTTATCAGTGCGGTATGCATTTACATTATTTCCGAGGTGTTTATACATTTCTTAACATACACAAATTTTTCAACCGCTTGTATCAAAACTGCCTGCTCTTTTTAAAGTTCACATTGTACTTTCCGTTTTTAAAATAATGATATTTAAGTTAGGTTCCTTACTTATACAGAATGTAAGGCCAAACTTGTAGTTCATAAATATATAACAGATTGAGTATGTATGTATTCATTAACACAGTTACAGACTATTATGTAAACCTTACGATTGAATAAAAGCATTAGGCCCCATGTTCCGAACGCTCTTTAGTATCACCCATACCAAAAGACGTCTTTACTGTATCATTTGTGCCTGATGACAAAATGACATTATCTTTTGCTTTACCTTATTTATATTGTAAAATCTAGAAATACGGTTCATAAGGATGACCAAGTTACTTAATATAAAAGTTCTTTATTAATTTAATTAAGCGGCTCTCATAAAAATGTGCAACTGACGCCTTAATTCGATGTCCTTTATTATATATGTTTGGCATTTAAAAAAAAACCCTCTACTCTTAAGTTGATACCCGAACCTTCTTCTCCACGATGAAGAACGAAATGTTAATCCTTCTTTAGAGTTTTAATTCAAATATGGAGCAGCATTTTAATAGCTAGATTATGACGTACCATGAATTATTAATGAACTTTTAAAAGCTGTCATCTCCCTATAGACACCATATAACTAAACATATAAAAACGTTATCTGTGTAAATCAAACAAGAAATGAAATTCATGTTTATGGTACTGGTACTGTCAATCAATCACCCCTATGTTTTAATTTTCATTAATAATTCAGGCTGTTATATAGAAACTAAAATAGATTATTATTGGGTCTCTCTAATGGAATATGATTTCCTTCATATATGTCAAACAGCATGAGTCATACAAACAATCTTTTCTTATCAATTAACTTCTTATTATGAAATTATTGTATTAAGATTGATACCAGATTGATAAATACGATGAAAATTTAATAGTTTATAAATTGAGAAACAATGATCATTTTAAAAGCTCAAATGATTTAAATATTGCCAAGAATGAAACATTAGGTAAGTCACGTAATTGAAATAATTTGATCCGGCCATTTCATGTTAATGTTTGTAGTTTTGCTTAAATATGTATAAAATGCATAGACAAAAGACGTGAAAATCAGCATGCTTTCTGAAAGAAATCTACAAGCGTTTCAACATTGTATCATTCAATGACAGAAATAAATTTATCTATAAGCATGCAAATCGTATAGCGTTAACATCCTCATATTACCTTTAAACATAATTATCGTACAAACAAAGTAGGCTTGTAGCCCAAGTTACTAAAACATATTGCTAATGCAACTGTGTGAAGGATTGGATTCATAATTTCATTAATAAAGAAATTTTCCACTGTTGTGTTATAAAAACAGAGACTTATTTTCAGGTCAAAATTATCTTTTTTCTTTTTATAATTATAAGGAAATTTAATTCGATTTTAGCATTAACTTTAATGATCATTTTACTTTAAAAGATGTTGTTATATGTGAAGTCATTTTGCACCAACTAAATACTCCTTTTCTTATAAAACACTGGTCGCTTATTTTGCAGCTTGCCTTCATAACCCTGCGTTTATTAACGTTGTTATAAGATAATATATAATATTGCTTACAGCTTGCTTTAGATTTCTAGCTCTTTTTGATTTATTTTTCCTTAACATACAATGTACAAAAAGTGAAGTTTCAGTTACAAACAATTTGCTTAAGTATATAATTATGATTTTTTTTTAGTCACAGTGTATGCTTCTTATCTGTGAAAAACGTTATAGTAAGACATGCTTTTGATATTTAACTTTTAAATTATGGTATATAAATAAATGAGCCGCGTCTTGACAAAACCAATATAATGCGTTTGCGACCAGCATGAATCCAGACCAGCCTGCGCATCCGCGCAGTCTGATCAGGATCCATGCTGTTCGCTATCAGTTTCTCTACTTGTTATAGAGTTTGTAAGCGAACAGCATGGATCCTGATCAGACTGCGCGGATGCGCAGACTGGTCTGGATCCATGCTGGTCGCAAACCCATTATGTTGGTTTTGTCATGACGCGGCTCAAACTATGGTATATAAATACATACCATCACAAGCTTGGTTGTTTACGGGTAAGGCTGAATTATATATTTTTGAAAGTGAAAAAAACTTCAGATTTTTTTGTCAACTTGTCAACCATATTTTATGTCTAATACTTTGCGCTGAAGCGGCTTGGTTTGTCAAATTCTAAGGAATTTATATGTCAAATGTAATGTTTTTACTTTTAGAAACGTTCTATATCCGTAAGTGCTTTGTAAAATCAATAAAGTTTGACGTTATTTGTTTTTTTATAAATGTTTCATAAACATTTGTTTAAGGTTGCAAAACGGTCATTTCAAATAATTCGGTCATTTCAAATAATTCATTTATCATTTTCTCTCTCTCTTGGGTGTTAAAATTAAAAGATAATGAACATAAAAAAGTTGAAAACATTTAATGTCGTCTATTTTTAAGTATTTTATAAGTCCCAAAGAATATATCAAAAATAAGCACATTAATTCTTATGTATGCATACCACTGTTTAAAACATATCTTAAAATCTTCAGATTAATGCATCGTCTCTATATGTGATTGTTTCCCTTACTTATTGCGTCGTATGTGTCTTTAACATAGTAATTACATTTTCATACACTTTGTATTGTTTCTTTTTTTAATTATTTGTGTCTCAAAAATGACATATCATAATTGTAAAGTTATCGAATGATACAAGGGTTAAGTGTACATGTAAAGATCTTATGATTTAAGATAGATTTTTATACCTAACTTTCAAAAACAAAAAAACTGTTTGTTGGTAGTCATGATAATTTATCATTATTTCTCGTTTTATTTGAGCTTCATTTTATTAAGATGATGTGTAAAAGATGTCTAAATTATATTTTTAATTCAGATTGGGAAACTATATTGGACGAGCTACATGGCGAGTCCAATATGACTTTGCAAGCTGTATTTTGTAATTATATCAAGCAATGAGTTTTTCAACTTTTACATGGATTTCTCAAATAATTTAACCAATCAGATTTGTTTGTTTATTGGAACGTTTTCAATTCAGAGTTATATGTGTTTTAATTACATCGTGTATATTATTTAAAATTATGGAAAAAAGTGTGAAGAGTTGTAGTGCGATTGTTTTTTGTGTGTCATGCCATCTTGCATAATAAACATCGTCTTGTGGTTATTTTTAATATTTTTGTTTAAAGCAGAAATAAAAGTTCCCTGCAAATTTATAATTGTTTTTACGTTTTTCTAAGCAAATTGCAGCATTTCAGCTGCGTTAAATGTCTCAAACATAATTGTGTCACTTAATTATTTTCTTGTTAAAATGTCGTTATTGTTATCAAATAATTTAATTGTTATTCCATTGCCGGTTTGTTCGGACCAATTACATTTTCCTAAACTTCATGACACATTCCTGTACCGATAGCGATGTTTAATTGCCTTTAGATTTAAGTTTTCAGCAGCAATGATTTTTTGGTTTCTAATTTAATATACTTAAACGCAAGATAATTATTTTGAAACAATTGATGAATTGTTACTGAAATAGCTTTTAATAATTACAAATTGAAATTATGTTAATACCTTATATAGATGATTTAATTAGCTTTTGCTCCGAGAACCGTGATATAGTTTAATTCTTTATTTTCACTGCAATAAGATAATACAAATGTTACCTCACATTTTTGTTACATGCTATGTCTGTGATTATTATGAAAGAAAAAGATTATCTGTCTTATTTGCCCATATTAACCTTAATTATTATTCTACATTTATATTATTACTGCCACTGTTTGTTTATAGTTTCCAAGTGTTTAAGTGATATTAAATTTTAGTGTTGGATATTAAAGTCGTGCCAATACTGTAAAGGTTGTATGCCTTTCCAATTGTATAGGTGATGAAAGGCCTTAGGTGTCCACCTGCGCGCCTGTGCATCGTTTTGAACACAAAATGATGCTTCGGTTGTACCACCGGCTGTCAATTATCTAGCCCAATAGCTCTATTACATAAAAGAGTCCAATGATTGAGGCCGGATTCGAACCAACAGCTGTAAGAATAACGTGGTTTTATAATACCAGAATAGTTATTAATAATACAAGTTCTTAGATTGTAAGTAAACTAAAATAATGTAAGTTCCAATGGGTACCACAAGTTCTTAGATGGTTCGTAAACAAATAAATAATGAACTAAATAGACTAAATTTGCGAACAAATCACGTCACATTGTCGCCCTTTTATTTTGTTTTCAGTCATTACTCTTTAGATTTTTATATTGTTTTGTCTTTTTGAATATGATATTGATTTATCGTTTCATTTCTTAATTTTTTTCATAATGAAATATTGAAAAAAAAATATTTAATCAAAATGCTTAACGCAAAGTGGTATGAAACGAATTTTTTTTTCTTACACTTTTGTTATATATAATAAGTTTATATTTATATTAACTTATATTGTATACAATGTATGTCTGGAGGTTTTGTCATTTTACACTGTTTTTATTTTGTAACAAATATCCATCCTAGCGCATGGGTTTAATAATAGTTGAATCCAATGCATTTGTTCCTGTGAAAACCCTATCATCCATTTAAGGTATGCATAATTAAACTGGAAAAATACATTTCACTTTTACTTAAATTCACTTTCATATTTGTAATCACGCACATATCGTTCACCTTTTTTTCATTATAACTGTTATTATATTTAAAGTTGTTACATGATTGCTTGTTTTATCACATTTCTCTTACTTGTTTCAGATTTTATGAATTGGTTTCTAAATGAATAAAAAATATCAAACAATGGTATATGTTGTTATTTTGGCTGTCTTTATTTCAATACAATTAGTATTGAGATTTTTAAATACTGCTGAAGCCAATAACGTGAAGGGGGCGTGTGACATATTGTTTTCTCTATTATATTACATGGGAAGACTCAATAAAAGCAAGTCTGTGGATTTCAGCAACTTGTTTTTTTTGGTCTAACTACTCTCTCGAGATACCCCTTCCCAAAATTCCCAAAATTATACTTTTCTTTGTCCTTTGCGATAAATATTCGATTCAAAAGTATTTGAATATTTTATCAACGGATCCAGCCTCATCTGTCTTGTATTTTTATAAGCAATGTTTTTATCGGTAAAATCGGCTCGAGCACTTGTAATAGAATATTATTCAGATGATTGAACATTTGTTTGATTCATGAAGCTTCTTAACCTCCCTTGTAAACTTTTAAAACTCTTCTTTTTCAAGTATGTTTTATTTTGGTTTAGTACAATAAGTCAACAATTTAAAGCAAGGATGGTATGAGCAATGTAGTCCAGATAAGGAAATAAAAGGGTTATTAGTGATAAAATTGATCTATCCAATTATCCATGATGACACTTTCCTTTATCATTCATTTCTAATCTTTAACAAACAAATCATACAACATGCATATAGGAACACAATTTATATTTGCTGCCGTGCCAATATTTAAAAACATTTTATAAAAACATTAAGAGCACATTACATTTCTATGATTCATTTGTCTGATTGGTCCTTTTACTTATAAGTACATTCCCTACAGTTCGAACGAAACTTGGTACATTTAAATGTCTTGAAAGGTTGTATATAAAAATAAGTATTCTACATCTCAAAAACGAAAGGACTTTTATTTCTTCAGAAAGGGCAAATATGAATTATATTATGTTTATTTTAGAGTATCAGCGCATGGCGTTTAAATGTAAAATTATTTGTCATAAAAGTAGCAAAATGTAATCAAAAATTTATTTTGATTTCCAGAGAAAAAAAAACAAAAATTAATATAATTGTACTATTTGTCTAAAAAGCAACAAAAAGAGTGGTTCAGGTAGTTAGTCAATGAGCAAACTATAAAATTTCATCAAAAATATAAAGCTTTTGAGAAATAATAATAAAAAAAATACGTTTGAGGTATAATGTGCCTATAATATGATTGTAAGTAAGGGCTAGAAGAGAAAATATAAGATACACATTGTAAATATCAGACACCGTACCGTTATAGCATTGCAAGTTGAATCCAGGTTGGAAATACAAAAGGCGTTTTCAGTAAATTATCATTAATTTGTTTTATCACGGCAGCGACGGTAACACAATCATGTACATTAAGACATGTTACTATGTCGTTGATAACTAAATATTTATCCTGTTTCAATTTACGTTTGCTGTTAGCAGTTTCCCTTGCAAATTATATGTAATATTTACGATAACAATTCATAAAATAGTGTCTCCCGATGACGCAATGTTTACATAACATGTGATACCAATAGTGATATCAGACAACAAACAGAGAGTGACCGACTGTATTAGAAAAAAAGCTATGTCATTATTTATAGCTTAAAGTCATTATTCTTCATGTTAAAAAAGCCATTTTTACTCATTTTAAAAGCTATATTTTTCTGAGCCATTATTTATTCATTATTCAAACCATTATTTATCAATTTTGTAATCCATTATTCATTTAACACTTTTTCTTGTGGGTTATTTTATTACAAAAACTATCAATGACAATTCTTCAGAGATCGAAATGTCTTCATTATATTTGCATGAAAATTTAGAATTGAATTTTATTTTTTAATATAATTATTATCAACAAATATCATTTTAATTGACAAAAAAGTCTGAATTTACACTAGCAACCGATATTATAAGCTATTACATCGTAATAGATTATAACAGCGTAACAGTATGTATAATTAAGGCATCAACCATTAAATAGTTTTGATGAACTTAAATGTGTATTTTGCAAAGAAAACTACAGAATGAATGTACCCAAGTATGTTCGGAATGGAACATAATTAGGAATTATTCATAAGTTAAAGTTTCACCAAAGTCACGTGTTAGTGTATACAGCCCGATTGTGCACGAAGCTGTAAATTTATAGACACACTCCCGAACCTGTTCCTAGCACCAACAAAATACTAAACAATAAGTGTAAAATGTAAAGGAAACAATAGCTTGCATTAACATAAACATTTGTGTTTGTGTTAAATACTGCTTTGTTATAATTTCTATAAACCTGTTCTCAAATTTTCCTATCATAAGTAATACTTTTTGTTTCTGAGAGATTCCCTTGTCCGTTTATTCTTGGCTTGTCTACGCATTTCTTCACACTGGCTATGAAATGATACTTTAAGAATTGTGTCGTAGAAATCATAATTCAACTTTGTGTGAAAAAATATATTTAATAGTTGAGTTGTCATATACTAAAGGTTAATTTTTTTTTATCAGAAATGAAACTATTTAACAACCTTTCTCTTTGAAAAAGCATGATACAAAAGTATCAATTACATAATCAATTATTTCTCTTAACAACCTAATACCTTTGAAGCGGTACAATATAATTAAAACAAACACGTTATCTTCCGTGGACTTCTTTCTGATAAAAACCATATATGCAATAAATGTCAAATGTAAGGTCTGTTTTATTCCTATTGAATTTGAAAATGTCTATAGATATCAAAAATCAATATAACGACATGCAATGTCTAAATGAATTGAACTATTAAATTGTGAATGGTATGTATATAACATACATTACATGATAATGAGAAAGTTTTGTTTTCATCATAAAACATTAATTCAAAATGTACTTTTCAGCTATAAAATCGTTGATTGTTTTATTCTTTGATGCGAACAATGTTATACGTTTCAGTTAACTATTAGATTAAGCATATTTTCTTTTCTTTTATCGTAATTAGTATTTAAAATACAAAAACAAAAAACGATCAAGCTTAACGCATTGTCTAAGATCAAAGTTGGTTGATGTCATGGACAGAGCATGTTCGATACGATAATTCACGACTCACAATTTCGATTGTAAAGTAAAGCCTAGAACGTGAGAGCCAAACAGAAATATAGTAGATCACCCTGATTAGTCAGATGGCCACAGACACATAAGAAACATTGCTGTAAAGAAATATGAAGTGTTAGTATCAGGCTAACCGTAGTTTAATTAGGATTTTTAATCGCATGGCAAAAGTTGGATTTTAAAGTTTATTTTAATGGAAATGGTTATTTAGTATTTTCGCAGGGCGAATTACGAGAATTGCTACACAGGAAGTCGTTAAATTATTAAAGCGTTTAACAACACGTACGTCCATACTCCATACAAAACTTCTTTAAGCTAAAGGCCATATTTCCAGTACCCCATTACCTATCCCCTATCTGAATTTAATATAGTCAAGTGACTCTGGTAATTCTTGTCTATGGGCACGGTTTTACATGAATCAAGTGAATTAACATAAATGTGCTTTATTTGAAATAACGCACATTTTGTCTACAGAAATGTGCGTTAACTGAGATATCGCTTTGTGTGTTATTGTCAATAAAGCATGCTGGCGTATAACAGCTGAGGAATATCAAAGACAATTCGCCGATTAATGCGATAAGAAAAACTATCCTAAAGGTTCTCTTGAAGAGTCATGATAAGAATAAAATTATATAATTATGTTCATACAATGAATCCTTATTTAATGCATGTGAGTTATTATAATGACGATACAATTTGAATAATAAATATTGTGTAACATTCCATCTTTCTTATTCTTCTATTTTATTTAAATTAAATGAGCATGTTACATAAACATTGCCAGAAGAATTATTGAACGGAAAATATTGTTATATTGTTTCTATAAGTTCGCAGAGTCAAATCTTAAACATGACGTCACTGAGCTTTATCGTTGAATAGTTATTCTCATTCCCTGATACATTTCTACGGCAGAAAGAAAGTCAGTGTTGCATTCTTTTCAATTGTGTTTGTTTTAAGCAAAATAAGTATGCTAGATCGATAAACGTATCTTTTGAAGTCGTTTCTATGGAATGTGTAACAGTATATTTTACCTCAATATGACATTTACCATGCAAACAAACCTATATTTGATTACCGGTTAATGTACATATACCTTATTGATATTTGCGTGGGTTCTTTGCAATAGTAAACATTGATAATATTGCCCGTCTGTCTTTTATTTGTTCCACACATTTCTTTTGTTGTATTGCTCGAAATAGTTTTAGTATACTTAATGTAAACATAATGATGTGTATTGTGCCTTTACACTCGTCCTTTTGCTAAAGAATGTCGCACGCCACATAAGTCGAGTCCATTGACATTAGTTTTCAACTCATTTTGAATAAAAAAAATGTTTACTATTACAAAACTTGCGGTTAAATTGTTTAAATTGTTACTTTTTGCTGAATCGGTTTCTAAATTATAAGAACACATAGGTGTTTTGTTTTTCAAATAGCTATCGTAGAACAAAAAAGTGTACATGTACTAATTTAACTGTTGGAATATTCGCTTAGAATAAAACTCAAATTGTGTTCATATTTTTAACACCTGGAAATATATTGAGAGAAAAAATAGTTTGTTAATGACCGGTTAAAGTAGTACGAAACAGTCTCAGATAAAATATTCAACTGTTGCATTAAAGATACATAAATATAATGCTAAAATATACTGATAATTTCTATATAGTCCATTTGTAAATGTGAAATTAACATCTTCCGAGTGTACATAAAAGATATATTACGTTTTAAACTTTAGACACTATAGATACAAACATACTTTGTATCATTTAAATAAAGCTATAAATACCAAATTAACTTATGGGGGTAAACAGCGTCCAAACATAGAGTGTTCATTCTCTTATCCAAATAAGGCATATTCTGTAAAAATTAAATTCTTAGATTTAAATAATGTTCTGCAATGAAAGTATTTTTTCCTTAAAATGAACATTATAAATAGCATATCTTAAAGTAGTTTTAGCAATGAATTTGCGCA